TCAGTGGGTGCTGGGGGGGTCTGTGGGTACATGGGGTGGTTTTTTGGAGGGTGTCAGTGCATAGGGGGTGCATGGGTGGTTTTTGGGGACGTGTCAGTGAGTGTTGGGGGGGTGGTGGGTGCATGGGGTGGTTTTTGAGGGGTTGTCAGTGTGTGATGGGTACATGGTGTGTTTTTGGGGGGGTGTCAGTGTATGATGGGGGGATGATGGGTACATGGGATGGTTTTTGGGGGGTTGTCAGTGTATGACGGGTACATGGGATGGTTTTGGGGGAGGTGTCAGTGTATGACGGGTACACGGTGTGTTTTTGGGGGGGTCTCTGCCATTCCCGAGTTCTGCAGTGCCCTCGTGTGGCCCCTCTCGGCGCCGCACCCGCGTCCCGAGCCTCTGATTTCTGGGGTTTTATTAAAAAAACCCACATCAAACAGTCCAAACCTACCCCCCAAACCCCCCCTCAACCCGGGTATTCCCGGGAATTTCCCCTTCCCGTGGCGGGAGCTGAAGTGAAACCCCGGTGTTGCTGCAGGAGCAGCAGATCTCCCCTTTTCCACCCCAAAAATGGGAATTGTGGGGTTTTTTTTCCCCCCTGATGCCCCGCTCTGGCATTAATAGAAGTGGTGAAGTGCTCGGGGGGCGAGGCTGGAGGGGCCAGTGTGACTTCAGATCCCTGAAGGAGCCACTTGCCCCAACATCAGGTCGAATAAAAAGGCTGAGAACCCGTCTCAGAAATGCTGAATATCATCAACTTCCACGTCTGTGCAACTCAGACCCCCCGAATTCCCTCAGAGGAGTGGAAATTTCTCTTGTGCAGGGGTTGAAAGCTTTACATTTTTCTTTTCAGTACCATTAGAAGCAATTAGTGCTGCCTCCCCGACGTCCAGAAATGGCTTTTTGTTGCTTTTAACCGGGTTATTATAAACTTGCTGTCGATGGAATTTTAAAGCTTTATGAAAAGAACCCAGAAAACATTTTGGGGAGGGGGTCTGTGACTGGGGAGATGCTGGTGAAGAGGAGAAACCTTCATCCTTCCTGTTGCCAAAAAGCCCAGGGAGTGAGAGGTTAAACCCACAGGTCACTTATTTCTCCTCCTTCCTTCTCGTGGCCTGGAGCAGGTTTGACCACTTCGACCTCTGAGCTCTGCCAAGGGGAGGAGATGTTTAGAAAACAACATGTTTTCTAAAAAAAAACCACCTAAACCACACCAATTTCTGCCCCAGGTGGCATTTTTGGGAAGGAAATCAACCTCCCTTAAACCCACAGAGCTCAGGGCCTTTGATTTATCATTTTTTGGGGGGGGATGGAAATGCACCATAACGTCAGTGCTTCCAAGCCTGGGGTGGGAATGTCTCTGGCATCCTGCAGATAAGTTCCTGGAATGGTTCTCGGGCTGCTCAGAAGGTTTTGGCCGTATTTTTTTTTTGGTTCACCTCTCTATTAAGGATTATTTGTTTGGGGAGGGAGAGGAGGAGGGGAGGTTTGCTTGCAGGGGGCTGAAAATGGGTGCACAAATTATCCAGGAGAGCTCTGGAGAGAAGGTGGTGGCAGTGACACCACCAGGATTTCCAGCTTCCATTTCAAACCAACCCCAAAGTGGCTCCGTGGGCTCATTTTTGGGATTTTAAAGCTGCGGCAAAACGAGGAATTGCTGCAGAAATCCCAACTTGTGGCTGCAGATGCTGCTCCTGAGGGGAGTCCTCTGAGCCTGCAGGTCTGTGGGTGCCCATCTGGAGCTCAGAGTTGTTCCTCCTCCGGGCAAAGACCTTGGGAAGTTGGTCTGAGGGGCTGTTTCTGTGCCTGGAGGGTCGGTGCGATCACAGGGGTTTCTCCCCTGTCTGACTCCCCCCTTTTCTTCCCCTGCATCCCAGAAAAGCAGCTTTTCTTTATCAAATGTTGAATCCACACGTGGGCAGTGGCTGAGGGGAGGAGCAGGGGGTGAGTCCTGGGGGGTGCTGGGCCCTGCATGGGGCTGGCAGCCTGGATTTCCGAGGAGCATCTTCTCCTCAACCCTTTTTGGGGACATAATCCTGACCCAAACCGGGTCAGACCCCAAAATATTTCGTTCCCACCCATCCCCACACTGAGGTGGGTTGCAGTTTCATGGTTTATTTGCAGCTGAGGACTGTCAACCTCAGGCTCCAGCACTGGGTTTAAATCACGAGCTGCTTTCACACCAAACAACAGGTTTGGGATTCGCTCTTCGGGTGGTTTCGAGCCCGGGTTTGTGGTTTGGAAAGAGGTTTCTGCCCAGCCCTGGGGATGGTTTTTAAGCTGAGATTCTCAAGTAATTCCTTGATGGCAAAAGAAGCTCGTAAGAAAACCAGAAATGTTATGAAACGTGTGGTGTAAAATCTCAGCAGTTCCGTGGGGCCCCAGCCAGGAGTTATAATTGAAATCGCTTAGAAGTCAGAGAAAAGCCAATAACTTATTAATGCAGCTTTTCTAAAGCAAAAATCCTGCCTCCTTTGCTGTTTGCCAGCAGGGAAAAAGCATAATTAAAGTTTCTTTGTATTGCTTTGTGAGCGCAGGGGATCAGATGGGGGGGGAGATTTATTTTCCGTACCTGGAGGACGGTCTTTTAACCACGAGTTGGGTTTGTTTTTTTTTTTAGCAAGCACCTTAAAAACCAACAAATCTGCCTGAAAATAGGAAGCTGGCTTATGATCCAGCCCCAGAGGAATTGCAGTGGGGGGATGCCCTCGTCCTGTGGGTTATTCCAGTGGGATCAGGGGGCTGTGGGACCTGTCACAGGAGCCAGGATGGAGCTTCCTGGGATCTTCCCACGTGAATTATCAAATGTAGAGGTTTCTGCTGGGATGGGGGTCTGGGATAAGTTGTGCCCCCGCCTCCCAAGAGCCTTTTTATCTGTGAGGGTGGAAATCTGGGGAGCAAACGCTTCGTGTCTCTGTTCTCCCCCCCAGCAGAGGGGTCAACATGCAGGAAATGTAAGTTAACAAAGTGCCAGGGTGGAACTTCAGCCCAGCTTCTGCTCTGCCCCTTTTTTTTTCCCAAAGGAAGTGATTCCAGTGTCCTAAACAGGCACCAGAGACTCTTGTCACCCCCCACCTGCACGGGGTTTTCTCCATAGGAGGGATTTTAGGAAGGTGGCAGAGGAGAAGCCATTTTTTTGGATCAT